CCCCCCCCCCTAACGGCGCGCCGCCGACAACTCTTACCTACCTGCCGGCCGGCGTATGAAACTTTAACGAGACCGCCGGGCGCTGCAAGGCGCGATCAACTTTCACTACCGGGCTCTGGCGCCTGCTTGCTGCGGCGAAAGGAAAAGCGTTAGCGGGGGAGAGACTTGCGGTAACATTGTAGGGACTAGCAGTTTGGGGCAGCTTCAAACGAGGGTTCAAAGAATAACTCTTACTTCCAACATGCCGTTTGAACATTTTCATTGTGATAACGCCGTTATTACTTTACGTCGTTACACTAGCCACATCGCGAAACGCCCAGGCGGGCCAACGGGGGTCCACCTCCACCGCTTTCCGGTCGCCCTCCGCGCCTGCACGCCATTGCGTAGGCAACCCGTCAAGCTTCCGCGTATTCTCCCGGGCACCCGGTATGGCGCCTTTACGAGATAGGCTACCCAAACACATCACGCGGTAGACGAGAAATAGACAAGATGACAAGAAATGTTTCCCACTCTGAGACAACAGTGCCTTCCTGTAAATGCTCCCGAGCCCGCAGTGCTGCGCTCGCACCCACTGTTTGCAAACAACCTTTTCAGGCCGGATGCGCGCATTGGTCCAGGATGTCCAGGATGATCCGCCGGCTCCAGGCTCCGCCCCAAAACTTTGTGCTGCTGCTGCGTTTCCGACCGGCGCCTTCTTCCCTATTAGGGCCTGAGCCCTCGCACCCCTCCGCTCCCTACCCGGATCCGCACTCATTGTCTTGCGCCCCCCCCCCCTTTTCCACCACCACCAAGCGGCGCCTGGCCGCACCGCGCCTCACCAAGAAGGGGAACTAAATTGAGTATTGTCCCCGAAAATTAGGCGTTCACCTATTGTGCGCCACGGGCGGCATTCCTACTCAAGGTAAGGAAAGCCGCGCCCCGCCGCGACCTGGCGGGCCTAGCGCCAGAGTCGGTCCGATGGGGGAGGCGGGCGCGGGCGCCAATAGAAAACCGGGAGAAAGCTTCTTACCCGCCTGTAATCTCGGACCTGAATATCAATGTGGCCGGCGGGCGACGGCGTTGTTTGAGATTGGGATTAAGTTCTTCCTCCCTCACCCCCAGCCCACCTCCCCGCACAACACCTGGCCAGCGCTTACATCAAATTTTTAAGCCATGCTAGCTGCGCATCGTGCGGTGGGGGCGCGACGTCCGAACGCAAACGAAGCCAGGGAAGGAGTAGCAAATGGGGCGGGGTGGATTTTTTAATGGAAAGATTTATT